GCATATGCATCCTGAGAGGACCTAAGCTATGCAGAGAAATGGATCTGTGGATGAACCAGCTAGCGTAAGTAGTTGGTCATAGTAGTGACGTTAGTTTGGGATAGGGGGAAGGGTTAATGATCAGAGTGTTTAAATAGATAACTCACTAGCGGGTTGCAGGTATGGTAGCATAGTATAGAACTAACAGATAGTCAATTGTCTATATAGCAGACTACTTAAATTAGATAATGACTAAAGTTGTACGTGTGGCTTGTTGTATACTCATCATATAACTGTAAAACCTTAGGAAACTATTCATGTGATAGTTCTGTAATAACAAACTAATAAAAATCTAATCAGCCAAGGAAGTAGCTTTAATAACAAAAAAAATATAGATTTTAGATTATATTAAGGAATGTTTCAGAAAATTTGCAAAATATCTATTAAATTGTATAAAAGTATTTATAATGACAAAACTACATGCTGACTAATAACTATACAATTAATTCATTATAAATACTAAGATTATCTATTTGACTTTGGTTATAATTCATTCAAAACACCTAGTTTGTAGTGAGATATAATTGAGGATAAATACACTTACTTTTAGAATTTGCAAAATTCTTTTTGTAGTTGTATCTTCACAAGCAAATTGTAAACGTAATTTTTCTGTTTTATGATAGTTGTATAGTATATATCATTCATGATTATCTCCTAAGAAAATTGAAAGCATGACACAAATCTATTCTATCTATATTTCTAACCTTAAAAATGAGCTTAAATATTATGGTAAAGAATTGTCTGAAAGTGAGCTGCATGATAGTGCATTGGCTCTAACTACTTATGCTACTGTAGAAAATAATAACGATAATATAGTTTTAGAACAGTATGAAGATACTGATACTTGGAATCTATTCAGTTAAGAAATAAAAAACTTCAAATTAGTTTTATAGTTGATTTGTCACATAGTGATTTTGGTAGGCATAGTAATTTTGAAGAATCTTATACAACATATATAACACAAGAAAGTGGTAATATGGATTTTGATCCTATAGAAATTGTGGAAAGTGAATTTCAATTTGCTAATAAAAATTTATTCTAAGTAGTATGGATTTGTATTATAAATAAAATACTCATTTTAATAAAATATTTACCACTTTCTTTGCTATTATCGCTCTTATAGTAATTTTGTTCGCTAATTTTTCAAATGTTCTTAAATCTCCTAATTTGCCATCACATAGTTTACTGGGCTTCCTGTTGTGCTTGCGTCAATCTCATTTTCATTTGGAGTAAATAGTTTTTTTTTTTTGTAATGAAAAGTATGTATAACTTGTTACCTGTCGTACTCAACTTGCCCGCTTATTTTATTTTTTTTGAACTTTTTAATTGTTTAAAGATTAATCATTCTCAAAAGTCTGTTTAAGATAGGTTAAGATTTATTGACGGAAGTTCTTATTAATGAATTCAATAATTTTTACTTAAAATAAATTTTCATATATCTGATATATACGTATTACGTGTAAATAACTACCGTTTTAATTTATTTTATATCTACAATAAATTTCTATTATTAATTATACTGTAGTAGTAAAAGGATTTTTTATACTATAAAGCCGATAATATTTCGTAATTGACCAATCAATTCTAATCTTTAACGCCATTGTGTTCGATTTGGGATTTGACCGAAAATAGTTTGGGTTACGACAAAAGCGTATAATTTAGTAAAAACCTTTGGGATTCTACTAAGTCCCAAACTACCGGGTTTGGTTTACATCCCTATTCCGAAAAATTGCAATTAATTGCCCATACAATCAATTATTCGGTAGGCCTGGTTAAAAAAATTTATAAGAAATAAACTTGAGCTGTCTGTGAAATGAGATGTTTACGAAATGAGCTTGTGAAGTGTTGTGAGTGTCGGTGAAGTGATACGGATCCGATAAAATGTATTACAAATTAATTGATATAAATAACCGTGCTTGTCAATTTGTACAAAAAAAATCATCCATCAACAATTTATTTACGTATATTCTTAAAAATAATAATAATAATAATGTCAAATCAAGAAAGTTTATTAAGTAATTATAATAATTCTTCATCAGACTTATCAAAAAAGGATGAGATATTAAATGAAAATGTTATAGAAAATTACGATTACCAAACATTTTATGAAAGCAAATCTAAAGATTTTATAAATGGGATTATTAAAGAATTATATGATATTTATAATGAAAGTAAAATGAAAGGAAAAGATATCAAAATAATTCTTGATTTGATGGATCAACTTTTAACAAAAAAACAAAAAAAGCCAAAGGATATAATAAATTGGTGTTTAAATAATCAAGTAGATCCTTTAGCTCAATGTATTCTTGCACATTGTTATCGTTATGGTAAATGGATTAAAAAGAATAAACAAAAAGCATTTATTCATTATCAAAAATCTGCTAAAATGGGTGATTCTTCTGGAATGCTTGGTCTTGGTAATTGTTACGAAAATGGAATTGGTGTTAAAATTGATAAGAAAAAGGAATTTATTCATTATCAAAAAGCTGCTAAAATGGGACATTCTGTTGGAATGTTTAATCTTGCTGAATGTTATAAAAATGGTACTGGAGTTAAAAAAAATTATCATAAAGCATTCATTTATTATCAAAAGTCAGCTGAAATTGGCGATACAGATGGAATGTTTCAAATTGGTATTTGTTATAGGGATGGAATTGGAGTCGATGAAGATAAACACAAGGCATTTCTTTATTTTCTTAAATCAACTGATCTAGGAAATTCAAATGGAATGTATGAAGTTGGTACTTGTTATGATAATGGAATTGGTGTAGAAAAGGATGAATATAAAGCGTTCTTTTATTATCAAAAGTCTGCTGAATTGGGGAATTCTGATGGAATATATAATCTCGGAAATTGTTATGAAAATGGTGTTGGTATTACAAAAGATGAATGTAAAGCATTCTATTATTATCAAAAATCCGCTGATATAGGAGATTCTGATGGAATAGTTAGTCTTGCCGATTGTTATCGTAATGGTATTGGAATTGAAAAGGATGAACATATTGCATTTAATTATTACCAAAAATCTGCTGAAATGGGCAATTCTGATGCCATGTTTGAAGTCGGTATTTGTTATGAAAATGGAATCGGTGTTGAAAAGGATGAAACTAAGGCATTTATTTATTATCAAAGATCTACCAAGATGAAGCATGGTGGTGGAACATACGAACTTGGAAGGTGTTATCTAAACGGAATTGGCGTTGAAAAGGATGATTGTGAAGCATTTAATTACTTTCAAAAAGCTGCTGATATGGAAAATTCCGATGGTGTGTTTAGCGTTGGATATTGTTATGAAAATGAAATTGGTGTTGAAAAGGATGAAAATAAGGCCTTTATTTATTACCAAAGATCTGCTGAAATGGGTCATATTGTTGGAACCTATAATTGTGGTAGCCTTTATGAAGATGGAGTTGGGATTGAGAAGGATGAATATAAAGCATTCCTTTATTATCAAAAGTCAGCTGATATGGGTGATCCGGAAGGAACAAATAATCTTGGTGATTGTTACCTTTATGGGATTGGGGTTGAAAAGGACGAAAATGAAGCATTCGTTTACTATCAGAAGTCAGCAGAGATGGAAAGTCCCAACGGAACGAATAATCTTGGCATGTGTTATTTAAACGGACTCGGAATTAAAAAGGACGATAGTAAGGCGTTCACTTATTTTCAAAAATCAGCTGAAATGGGATTTTACAGTGGAATATATAATTCTGGAAAATGCTATCGAAATGGAATTGGTGTGACTAGGGACTTGCAGAAAGCAGACTATTTGTAAGTAAATTATTTCAACTCCTCGAATATTTATAATGATTTTTAAAAATATTTTAAAAAATCATTAAACAGGTTCAGAAAATTACCATCAGGTAGTTATAGATTATTTCCTTGAAGTTTTTAATTTCATATATTAACTAAAAAATTTTCATAATTTAGCCAATAATAAATGGTTAAATTTAAATTCTGATATTAACTATGATTTAAAAAGTATATTGCTCGAAAAAAATTATCCACTGTCGTGGATTCCCTTTGATGATTTTAAAAATATTAGCTTGATAGGAGAAGGTGGATTTGGGACAGTATTTTGGGCCGAGTGGATGAACAAAGAACAAAACACAATAATAGACGTTGCACTTAAAATACTTCACGGGTCGAAATATAATCGAGAAAAATTTATTGAAGAGGTATTTCCCGTTTATCATAAAAATTTTAATTTTTATGTTTATGAAAAATATTATAATTGCTTACTTTTTTAACTATAAAAGTTGAAAGTGTTTTGCGAGATTGGTAAAAATAATCCTACATTCTTAAAATATCATGGCATATCAATGGATAAGATTTCTAAAGATTATATTCTGGTTTTGGAATATGCATCAATTGGTTCTTTACGTAAAAATCTTCCACTTGTAGCACAAATGGGATGGAAAAATAAATTAAATTTACTGACTTGTATTGCTTCTGATCTTCAAATCATTCATTCTAATGGTTTTATTCATCGAGATTTGCATAGTGGAAATATATTACAAAGTAATATACAGAACGCATACATTGCAGACCTAGGACTTTCAATTCCGGCAAACATTGCGTTAAATACAAACGAAGTTTATGGAATTTTGCCATATATCGCGCCTGAAACTTTGAAAGATGGGTTATATTCTATGGCATCTGATATTTACTCATTTGGTATGATAATGTGGGAAATTTCATCAGGAAAATCGGCATTTTTTGATAAAGAATGTGGACCAAATCTTCAACTACAAATATACAATGAGGATTTGCGACCTAATATCATTAATGGTACACCTCAATGTTATATAGATCTTATAAAAAGATGTTGGGACAAAAGGCCAGAAAACCGTCCAACTGCGGTGGAAATCTATAAAATTTTGACATATTGGCAAAATGATGAAAATATCTTGTCTGAATTTGCTTCGTCCGAGAAAATTATGAAAAATATTCTTATATCGATGCATGCTGAAGCAATTGATGATTTTCTAAAGATGAATCGAGAGGAAAATGTTGAAGGACATTTATCAGTAACAGAAATTTGCGAGATTCTCACTAACCAAAATATTAATGAACACTTTTCAAAATTATTGTCATCTAGAGAAAAAATTGAAAATATAAATATAAATTCAAAGATGAGTTATAAAAGCAAATCTATTCCTCGTATTACAGCATTTTATCAAGGTAATTGTATAAATTTCCATAAATTTGATTAATATTATTTAATTGTTAACGTTAATAATTTTTTCTTAATGTAGCTGCATCAGATAGTTTGCTGATTCCGAAACTTTAACGTTAATTCTACGTATTAAATTAACTGAGCTGGTCAAATCAATGACGACTAGAAATTTGCTGGTCATTAGTTAAAGGGTCTCTTGGTCAAATAGTCTATTATTTTTATAATCTTCGTACTACCTAAATTCTCAGAAACGGTAGGTTATTGTTAGTGTCCAGGGGCTGCTGCTTTAACCCATAAATTCTGCTGCGATTACCGTTAAATTGCGGATTTTGCGGCGACATATAAATAGTACATTAAATTTTTATAATATATAAAAAAAATTTATAGTTACAAAATTATTACTTTTTTAAGTTATATTCTTGATTTCTAACGTTAAACAAGTTTTTAACATTAATAAATATAACATCATAATTATAGCAAATAACTCAACTCAGATATAATATGCAAAAAAATTTTTAAATAATTAATAATAAAAAAAAACCAATAAAAAATCTACTTCTTTAATTAGAATTGTAATATAAAAGTTTAACATAAGAATTCTCTGAAAAACATCTACAGTCACTAAGAATATTTTTGTATGCTGAGAAACTACATTCTACAAAACATCTAATTGCTTTAAAAGAAGAAGAGAATTATGTCTATTAATACGTTTTTTAAACTTAGTCCAAGCTAAATTATATGTCTCACAAAAAATTAGTTTAGTAGTATTCGATTTTAAATATAACATGTGATCAGGAATTTCAGCCTTAGTGTAAACTAAAATTTTGAATTAAATTTTTATGAAAATTTTTGTATTGTAGCCAATCAAATCCTGAATTTGGGTTGATCAATATGCTATTTTTAAAAAAAGATACTTTAAAGGTTTTTAAAATAAATGTAAAAAAAAATGATTTACACTAGAGTATAAAATTGTAAAAGTCTTTTGTCTTAAACAAATAAGATTATCTAAATTATGAAATATGAATATTAATAGAAGTGTTATAAAATGAGTTTCAACTATTTTATCTTATTATTTTATTTTATTATTTTATTATTAGTATTTTTATAAATAGTTAGTTTCTTGAATGTACTTTA